GAATGTATTAAATTTAAGGTTATTTAATTTAGACTATTTCTATTTTCCCTATTATATTATTATTAGTTTAAGATTGGTATATTTTTATAAACAAAACATCAATAAAACCTTATTAAACCATAAAAAAAATTTAAGATTATTGTTAAAAATATAAAAATGATCCAATATATTAATAAAATAAAAATGGAAAACGATCAAACAACGTTAATACTCATTTCGCCATCATGCCAGCAGGACAAAAACGTTAATACTTATTTCTCCATCATACTGCTAATCAAACCAATAGATAATTTATTAATCATCACTTCATTATTTATTTTAACGAACAAAGACGTTATAATATTTTAAACACATAAAAGAAATCAAACGCAATCACATTAAAAATCAAGAGAGATCAAATAGTGTTAGACTATGGGGAGTTGTGATTTTACCGCACCTTCGCCATAGTTTCAAGGAGGAACACCCTCTTGACCGCATTCGGTAGTAGAGGGCCGCACTCTTTTTATCTCTCTCATCTTCTCTTCTCTCTACAATTCTCTATCTCTCTCTCTCTCTCTCTACCAAGGTTCTTACACCTTGTGTGTGGTAAAGAACCACATTTTGTGTGGTATAACTGACATGGCGTCTACGGAGGAAGTATGGTCTTGTAGCAACACTGAATAGGAAAAACAATTCATCATCTTTTCACCCTCGAAAAAATATAAGAAAACAAGATCAATGTATCATTAATATAATTATAGTCATTCATGATTAAGTTTATCATATTTATGAGAAATGAATGCATAAAATTAATAAGACCCGATTAAGTTAATCATAATATAAGAAGATTAGGAGTAAGGCGAGAACTTTTGATTTGAACCAAAATTGTTGAAATTATCCTCCCTAATAAATGAAAATACTTTTGTCACTTGTCATATTCTCCTTTATTTTGACACGTCATTTTTTAGGATTTTTAAAATTGTTATTTTCCAACTGTCATTTTTTGGGGATTTCAATTTTACTAAAATAAAGTTCCAAAAATTCCTAACAGGTTATATATATATATATATATATATATATATATATATATATATATATATATATATATATATATAT